GGTTTGGTGTATTTGAGAAAGCCTCTTTTCTTTTCTTTTCAGCTCTCTTTGGCTTTGTCAGCGACAGCACGCCAGACTTTCAGATCTGTCATGTTTAAAAGAGCAGGGAATACATATAATAAAGAATAGCAGCATTGAAATAAACACACAGTTTAATTTGCAGAGTACCATATGGATGCATAGACAGCCATGGATAAGAATCTTGTTTTGATGTCTTTACAATAGTTTAACAGGCCATAAAACTGGAGATAAAAGGAGAGTATAAAGAGAACAAAAGTTTTAAACTGGCAAAAAAAAAGGTGGCACTGAAATGTACAGAACAGCATAAAGAGTGAAAATGAGAGGGGTGAAAGTAGCAGCCGGCGTGTCAGCATGTGAACTGAGAGTGGAACACGCAGACGGTGAATTGACCAGAGGCTCGCTCGGCTACAAGCACACAGCTGCCCGCTGACAGAATGGAGTCCTAACAGGGCCTTTTGCTTGCAACACAAAGACTTTGCAAATGCGAGCGTCTTAAGCACAAACGAGAGCGCTGGGTGATCCCCTTTAAAAACCCAGCAGCTTAAATTGCTCCCCATAAATTATGCCTCCAGCATGCCCAAAGACTAATAGTTCCAGAGCTGTTGTTCAGTACAAGTGCAGCAAGTTGTACTTTATTAAAAGCGACTGCCAGCAACTGTGAACAATGATCCTGAATATCGAAACACTGTTGAATAAAAATGCATACAACAAAGTATAGAAACTTCTAATAAATAGTACATTATCTTAGTTAGTCAGGAATTCAATAGTTCAGTGTTCAAATAAATTAAGCCTGTATTTAGTCTRAACCTAAGGGAAGTCATTTTACTGTATGCTCATGTTCTGAAAATGGCACCAGCAGCCACAGCATGCAAGAAGTTCACATGACAGAATTTGAAAGATCTAAAAAGTGCTTGTTCACGCCAAGCTGTGACATTCCAGGAATGGTTTATTTTGGATATCAAAGCGTGTGTAGTCATAATCTCTCCAAAAGTGAATAGAGAGATAAAAACATACTTGGAGCAAGATTTCTCTTAGACTAACCTTTTTATTATTATTATTTYGGAGGAGCCCTTATCAACATCTCTTGTGTAATCAGACACCAGAGCTGACATGCGATTAAATCTTTTTTTGCCCTAACTCTCTGCTTCATGTCTAACTTGAACTTTTATCTACTCTTTTTTTTTTAGGGGTACTCACTGAGTTGGGTTCAAACAACAGCCTGTAATGTTTCCTGTTATGATGGCTAAATTAGCCAGCTCTCGTTGTGGTTTAAGGCCAGATGCTGATGTAGAAATAGTTCAAGGTACCCTCAGCTAGGGTGACAAASCACTTCGCTGAAGTACCGTGTTTGTGGTGTCCACAAATATCAACCAACAATCGTGCAATATTTTTAGAAGGGCAAAACACAAATATGGACACTTACTTCCTAACCTATAAAAAAAATAAAATAAATAAATACAAAACACTGAAAGTTTTGCTACTATGACACTTTATATTCAAAATGCCCCGGCTTTGATTGTGAACATGGCAATAAAAAAATTGCAAAATGAGTCTAGTGTCACCCTCATCTGTAAATCAAAAAATGAATTACTGGACTTTATGTTCTTATCATTTCTTGTCCAAGTGGTTTCAGTTTCATGTGTAATAACAGATTTATAGCGTTAGACGTTCTTGTTAATGAGTAGCCATGACAGTGCAGCATTTTTATATTTCCATTTGACCAGATCCGACCGTATGTAGACGAAACATCCCTGAGACTGCACTGACTAAAACGAACCAAACCAAATATAGAATAGAATAGAATAATTGAGTAATTACAAATTTCAATCCAAAAGGGGAACAAACTCCTGTTTGTGTGGTTGTGATGGGTGAGAGATACTGTATGTAACAAAGTTTTGTGAGTCATAGCAGTCAAGCCTCTCTGAATCTCTTCTCACAAGCTGTGGTGAGGAGCTGTGTGTCAACACATGCTGCTGCAGAACAACCACACTGCCTCTTCTCACACAGGTACTTTATTATGCAACTTCAGTTTCACTAAACTATCTAAAGTGTGTTTGTTTGCTGAATCAAAGCGTTTGTATGCAGCATTCCCATATCATCTACTGCAGAGGTTCTCAAACACAGGTCCCAGGACCCCCTGGGGTCCACAAGTTGTAGCTTGAGGGTCTTAAAAAGTACAATAAACTGTTAATTTAGTTTTTGTTTAAAAGAAAACTGCATAAATACAAATGGGGAACAATGCACTAGTACAAACAAACATACTCAACCAAACAATTTATAATTGTTACTCCCATGTTATTTAGGGGTTAAAATGGCAGTAAATCTTTTTTAAATCAAAATGATTTCACATGGGTGAAATTTTTCATCATGTAAAGGGTCCTCAGACCCAATAAGTTTGAGAAACMCTGCTCTACAGGTTATTCTTATTAAGCATACACGTCTAACAGAACAATAGGTTGGTAAATCACACATTAAAATGGGGTCATCCACAAAGACAAGCACTCTAAAACGTGCAAAAAACCGGACTTTTGTCATCTTAGTCTGGGTTTTAAGTAGCACGGACTAGTTTACTATGATAATAATAATAGTGAAAACATCTTAGTTTGCTTGGCACCCAGGAAAACCTGACAATGTTTTAGGGGAAACCCAGCATGAACAACAAATGTTGCAAACTATAGTCAAAGAGAGGTAACATAAGGATCACTACTTAATACGACATGGTTAGTGGATGTGTCTTTTAATATATACGCTAATTTTTTTCAAACAAAGTTCAAACGAAAAGATGAAAAACTCACACATTTCTCGCAGTGGCAGCAGTGGGTGTCCTCTCTGTAGGACTGAGCAGAACTGCGGGGAGCTGAACTGCTGCTGCCTTCAGCATTGATTGTAACAATATCCGCGTACACACGAACCAGGACGACCGGAGTGGGGGCAGTGAAAAACCGAGGGGATTGAAAACTTATCTGGAATCGTGGACCCAAAAGTAAAATAAGAATACAACTGCTGCATCTCTAAATACTGATTTTGAACAACAAAATRTTCCAAAGTAAGGTCACACGTGCAACAAAAAATAATTTGGTCCAGCCTCGCACCCCTCTCAAGTTGGTACATTCCACTTTAGCTCTCCCACAGGCRTGTGCTGCTTTACTATGCTGTCCAGTGATGATAATAGACATCACTGTACAGCAAAACTAGCAGAACTGCTTGGTTAAAAGTTGCAACTAGAATTCTATATTTTTTTTTTATCTTCATTTAGCCTCTTTTCCTCAGTTAATAAACAAAACAGCGGCTAAGACAGTTGATTTCTTGAAAGGTACTGCAAAGCCTAAACTTTTAGTGTGGGCATTACTAAAAATAATAAATAAATAAATAAATAAAGCAGTGTGAATCTGCCTCCTTTTGCCTTGGAAAGGTTTACCCACTTACATGCCAGAGCAATTCAATTCGATCCACAAGAATCCTATTAGCAGCCCTTCAAAGGTGTTTCCAGGGAGATGGAGTGAAAACATAAATATTTGCTGTTACACTGACTGGAGAGGTTGAAATGAAAGCGCAGCATTGGTGCTGGCAGACGGACCGTGGGCTATGGCATCGAGTCTAAAACCTTCCTCTGTAGGTTAACATTATGGGTGGAATAAAAGTGCAGCTTCAAACATTTGTCGACCCCAAAAGCCATGAAAGTGCTGACAGTGGTGAATGTACAGTTCAGCTTGGTTCAAACCCAGCAAGAGCCTCGGTTTTATGTTTAATGGTGAATGGAAGCAAAATGCATTCATATTTGAATAAAACAGATGGTTCCCGGTTTAACAGGGCAGCCGATGTAACTCATTAAGAGGTATATATTCTTGTAAATGTGCAGTTGTACAAAGTGTCAGGACCTAATCCTGAAACATTTTCATATAATGTTAGGAGTGTATCACTAACGTATTTGCAAGTATTTTTATTGTGGGGCTAAAGTGCATCGAGAGGCATGTTACAATCAAAGAAACATCAAGCATTAGAAACTGCCTTATGAGCCACCTTTCAGACAGTGAGTGTGTTTGCTGACAGAGGCATAACACAGAATATTTTAAAATGAGCAGAAGCTTTGTGAAGGCCACGTCTTTTCATGGGAAAATCTCCGGGAGCTGTCGATGTGGGCTAAACAGGTATATCCACAGCCTTGTAAATTTCCAAGCAGTAATTCTTGTAAATCTTGAATGTGTTTACTCAACAGTGTGCCTTCAGCATAGATGGCTCCCATTGGACCACTGGCTCACGCAGCATGCGATTAGTCTGGCAGATATTAATGACACCACCGGGAATGGGAAAAAAAAGTCAGACAACCGTTTCTCCCACAGAAGTCACGACCTCCTGTTTATTTATTGTGTCAGAAGTTCTTAATCATCTTATTTGGRCCCCAAACACTGCCGGGGTCCAGTTTAGCAACTTAGATTGAGATTGTTTCTTTGCATGATRGAAGATGTCTTGCACACCAAGAGAGAAAACTGATATTCTGTAGACCAGAACCCTTAAAAGAGCCATTGTAAAGTTAAAYACAGGACTCTATTATGATTTATGGAATGAAGAAAATTATCTGAATACATTTCCACCCACAGATCTTATTATTTTGGATTACATGTTCAATGTCTGGCTGACTTAAAGCCCAAACAACCTCAAGAATGATACACAAGGATCAATTCAAATAACAAAATGTGCACAAGGTTTAAAAGTGCAATAGTGTTGATGCCAGAAGACAATTAAACAGAGGTAAAATTACTTATGAAAGTGCACTTTATTTTACCTAAAACTGCTGAAACTTAAAATATTTGAGTTATTTTTTGTATGACACTAAATATTGGATATTAAAGTCAAACTTTCTGCAACTGAAATAGCATACACTCATTTCATTCAAGAGAAAATGTCCCATTCATATGCACTCAAACTGCTTAACTGCATTGTAAAAAAAACACATTTACAACTGCATTTTGTTTAAAATGTGTGTAAGTGAACAGACAAAATATATTGTGTCAAATAGAAACAGAACAGCAATTTACAAACAAACACCTGAAGACACATTCATCAATGMACCCTTTTGAAGATAAGTGCCGTCACACTATTGCCTGTCTTTCCTCCAAATTTGAAACTCGGTGTGGGTAACTCTTGTACAAACTCAAAACCTGCAAAGCAACACAAAACAATTCAGTCAGTTAAGAGAGTTCAACTATATGAACAAGTWGTTCATGAAAACAGAGGCTGAGAATCTTTTTCTTGTGGAGACTATCTAATAAACTAAAAAAAAAAAAAGGATTTAGCTGCAGTAATGAGAATCAACTATCCATCTGCCATCTGCGCTGCTTCCTGGGGCCTAGTAAAGCCAAGCTGTCAGTGTGAAAGATGAGCACTTTGGCCTCCTGCAGGCTCTCCAGAGTGACTGCAGAGACACGAGTGACAGCTAGTGGAATCCTGCCGAAAMTCTGACTTTGTCGGCTGTTGTTCCCCACAGCTCAACGGCCTGCCTAGTGACGGTTGTGGCTGAGCAACTGTCTGTGTTTTGACTGAGGGTAGGACAAAAAAAACCCGCTCAGATAAAAAGCTGTTAAATCTCAAGAGACGTCTCTAAAATTACAACAGTAGGTTTGGTTGCAAAACCAACCAAAAACTTAAACGCTCGACTGTGTGGCTTTCTTTGAAGAGACAAAGCTAGCTGTTACTCACAAAAACAAACAACATTGTGTGTTCCTTCAGTATCTGAGATCTGTCTATTTTTCAAATGCACAACTTCTAGTTAGAGTGTCAGGGGTAAGAAACATTATCTTAAGTTTTAACTAGAAGATTTGTATTTTCTRCGCAAATTAAGCTTAATGCTTAAAGATGCATTTTGCAATTTGTTGTAAAATAGCTGAAAATAGCAGAAAAGYAGCTAAAACGTAGCTGAAAGGGCTGAGTCTAGCACAAAGAATAAGAAAAAGCACACATTTGCAGAATTAAGCAGATGAAAACAGTAGCTAAAATTATCATAAAAGGGGAATTTAGCTGAAGAAGGCTAATATTGGCTGAAAATTTTTTTGTTATGCTGATGAGGGTGTAAAATTAGATGTGTGCATGTGTATACACTGTAGGGCTGCCACAAACGATTATTTTTATAATCGATTAAACACCGATTATTTTTTCGATTAGTCGACTAATCTGATCAAACGTTAATTGAATATAAAACATACAGCTTATCGCGCCAGAATGCAGCTGCTAATATATAACCATTGTTAGATTTTAGCTATATGCTAACTAAAAATAATTGCTGTGGAAGGCAAGTTCTGCTCTGCAGATATTGCACAGGTTTCTCTTTCATTTTCTTGAAATGATCCCACACTTTTGAGCTCC